ATTTTAAACCTTTATTTAACCTCAGAACGGTCTCAAGGTAAAACGAAGTGCTAAAGTCTGATTTTGTGGTGGCTGTTTTAAAATTAAATTATTATAATGTTAATTCTAGTGAAGAAGGATTTTGAAAGTCTGACAGTAATCAGTGTTGAGTACTACTGTAAGGTTAACCCTGCCTGCTTTAAAAGTTTCCGAATGATTAACAGTTGAAAAAAAAAGTAATCAAATGTAATAAAGTAATTGAAAGTCACACTACTTATACCATTTTAAATAGGGTAACTTGTAATCTGTAACCTATTACATTTCCAAAGTAATCTTCCCAACACTGAGCATGATAGCATTCAAAAACATTTTTAAAAAATGTAGCTGCCAGAATAAGGATAAAATATAGTGCAGTCAACTGAAATACAATTTGAATTTGAATTGAGCAGGGAAAGTAATGTGACCTGAGCTACTGTGCAGCATGACATCTGAACTTTACTCGGTGAGGACATTATCCGTGGAAACACATATAGTGGTTCTAGATAGGGCTGATATGAATCTCCAGCTGTTTTAGACATCACATATGTCATATCCCATGACAGTCTATAGACTATTTTTCTCCCCCCACAGAGACCCTCCCCAAGGAGAAGCAACAGTCCAGACAAATTCAAGCGGCCTACACACCCTCCGTCCCCCAACACGCAGGGTGTTGTCCAGCCCCCGCCTCCCCCTCCACCCGCCGTGCACCCGACATCATCCCAGGCCGCTCCACTGCAGCCGCAGCAGTCCTTGCAGCCATAGATCGGTGAGCCATCGCAGGGACTCGAAACAGAGCTGCTTCACTGTAACATCCCTCAAGCCAAAGGCTTAACAATCCTCAATGTCTTCTTCATCTCGCACTGAAACCATTCATCTGTGTTGTTCATAGTTCTGTGTTTGGAAGCGTTGATTGTGTCCACTTAAAGATGGTGTGTGAGGTGAGGTGAAGGCATTTCCAGCTCAAGAGGGAATGAACATCACTTCAGTGTATAGCACAGTTTTAGCAAGCACTTATTGCTTTGGCATCAGTGTGTGTCAAGCGATCTACACCTTTAGCAACCATTGCTTGTTTGTAGACTGACAAAAAATACTACTTAGGAAATGATGTGGTCATATATTTTTCATAGTTGAGTATTTTTCCAGTGTTCAGAGTAACATTTTAAAAGTGTCAACCAGAGTGGACCAGCAGGACATTACAGAAAGCCACAGGTGTGCTTCTGTACTCCAAATAGAATCATGGTCAAAGCAGCTAATGGCCTTTTAAGGATTAAACTGTGGCCCAATATCACGTTTGAATAATAATGGTTAATAATTCACAAGCAAGTGTCTCAGAAAGTGATAAAAAAAAAAAAAAAGAGTCATCCTGGTTATTGCAGCAATATGTATTTGGCTATTTCCTTGTAATCACATTTTGAAATCAAGACAGCAAAAAACTTTGCATTAGTAATGAGTCTCCCAAAGAAGTGTCCAGGTCATATTTCATCCTAAAACCAGGAAGAAAAAAAGAAAAATATTTTAAAAATTTGAATAATGAAAATTAGGCCTTTGTAGAACCAATTCCTGTTATTATAATGCAATAGAAAAAAATCTAATTTGGAACCTGCTCAACTGTATGTATGTGTGTGTGTGTATATATATATATATATATATAGAGAGAGAGAGAGAGAGAGAGAGAGAGAGAGAGAGCTAAAATATTAACATTTATTTAGAAATATATTTGGATTTCAGAGCAGTACATTTTTCTTACATTGTGGCTTTATTTTAATGATGAGCACATTTTCCTTACAAATTATATCATTGTAATGGGGAAGAAAAAAATATTTTAATTTTTTTGGATTGATTTTGGAGTGAAATATGACACCCTAGTAAATGACTTTTTGCAGTGTTCACATGAGAACACTCTGCGGTAGATGACTTGGTGTTTTGCGGCTGCTGCAGATGCAATGCGTTGTTGGCATCTGGCAGACTTTAATCCTCCTGGTGGGTTCTAAAAGCTTTTTTTATATATTTCAGCCAGACACTTAAAACATTAAATGGTGTACATTAGAAAAGACTAGTGTGTGTATGCGTAGAGCGTTTGTCTGGTTTCTTATTACAAACACACCTGCAGCTCTTTTCTGCTAAACAGTGTCTGGTACCACTGTGATTTTTTTTTTTTTTCAGAATATACTGAGTTATAAGAATGAGTTTGAACAATTGTGCAAGGAAGTGAGCTAAAGCGTGTGTAAATAGACTTTTGTATGCTTTGCAAAAAAAAAGGAAAAAATGCATATGGGGGTCTCTTTTGAAGTGTTTCCTCCACTAGTTTGTGTTTGTGAGTTCATTGGTGAGCTTTTTAGGATTCTCTCAGAGTTACCAAATAAATCGCAAATTGAGATGCAGCTGAACACGCGGAACAAGAGAAGAGCGCTTCTTATTTATCATTTCCTGCAGATCAAAGTAAACCAATGATTCATTTCCTGGTACTAACCAGCTTGATTGCGGTTAAGTAAGTTGTTTTGGATAGGTTAGCTGTGGCCAGGTGGATGCTAGGCCGTGTTGTTGAACAATATCTGACAAAAACAGCACTGTGTTTTGCTGCAGCATGGCATCGGTGCTTTTCATATTTACTACAGGGTGTGTCTGTATTTTCTTTTCATCTTTTATTCTTTACCATGTATTCTCTGAGAGCACAATTCATTAGATTGAGAACCAGGACTATGTTTTTTTTTTTTTTTACTTCACTTTTGTTTACCTTTGTACTGTCGTCATTGTAAATATTCATGTGTTTGTATAGAAAAAGAATACGTTGTATTGCAAATCTGTTTCAACCATTTTCAGTTTTTACCAGAGCTACTTTTTGTCCTTTCCAGCTCCATCCAACTTTTGTTTTTAAGACTGTTGACGAATGAATGTAATGTTTGCTCATTTTACTGCTATCATTAACAGATGGGACTCTGCACTGTAATGTTTTTTAGAGCACGCTCTTTTTTTGTGTGTCTTGACATGTGACAATTTTAATAATTTTTGTGACATACAGTATGTGACAATTTTATAAGGGTCAATTTTTCGAAATTGAGATTTATACATCATATGAAAGCTGAACAAATAAGCTTTCCATTGATGTATGGTTTGTTAGGATAGGACAATAT